TAGTAAGTTCATTGACGAAGTAATTTTCAAAAAATACGTTTATACAAAAAATAAGTTTAAATAAAGTTTATGATGTAAATCAAGGAAATCTCTATTACATATAAAGATACGACACGCGCTTATGATTTTTCTTTGTGTTTTCGTCATGAATTATTAATGATTTTTGAAAGTCATTTTATAATTGGTTTATATACTTAATTGTGAATATCTCTGCAACATATATAATAGTAATTGTATAGGTTTAATAGTTCTAGATCATTCCTCCATTCAACAGTGCTCTTCCTCCCAAAATTGCAAGACACAGCGAGCAACTCAAAATTACCTTAAATGCTCTTATTTCCAACATCTCGTTTCCACCTGGAACTCACTAACATTAGATATCAAAAGTTCAACCAACCTTATAACGACTTTTAAAAAGCTATCTCAGACTATTACACGGTGAAACTTGATTCTTAAGGTTCAGACACCCCGGACGCAATTCGACAACGTTACGCAACGCGATTTTTTAGTTTTTGAAAGTTAATATAAAACAGCCAATGAGAGCAAATTTTGAAAGATATGTAGACCAATAATAACTCAAAATGTTATAGCGCTTCTAAATATTTGGAAAATTGTCAGTTAAACTAGAATCAAAGTTATCGGTCAGTGAAAATCGAAAAATCGCGTGGCGTTGTCGAATTGATCGCGTCTGGTGTGTCTGGACCTTTATACTCTTTACTTACTAATTCTAGACTAAACACTGTATAATATATCTTTCTAATTTATAGATATTTTATCATGTTTTTTAACCATCACTGATCAGTAGTTTGATGTCATTTGGGGCTTTGTATAGTTTCTTTCCCCTGTTGTCACTGTAAAACTGATAACTAATTTAATAAATTCACAAATTTATAAATTCATTCTCAATGTATTCGATAATATATGTCAATAAACTATCTAGTCACATATAAAGACAAGTCTACTAAGTCTAAGTGTCTTTCTCTTTCCACACTAATAATATAAATAACTTCATGGCCGGAGTTCGGCACTTGTGATCTCGAGCTCGCTGTCTTTTAATTGAAAAAATAATTTATTGTTTTTCTCTCTAACCTCAATTTCCCCTGCCTTATTTCCCCTGCTTAATTTGAGACAACTACTTACACTATACATGCACATGTCACTTATATTGGACCTGTATTGTCATGCGGCAATGTTAATTATAAACGTAATTGTAAGTTTTTCTCCAGCCTAAACTCCGGTATTTCCCCTGTGTCTTATTTCCCCCGTTCCCAACAATATAAATATAGTTCCACTGAAAGTGATCAAGGTAACATTTCAGTTGCCGCAGAAGAAGGTTCACAATATGTTGTCCGTCAGTTTCGTGTTGTTTGCATGTTTCGTGCTCGTTCTCACAGGGCATTTTGGCGCCTGCAACGTTCTTCGTGAAACAGCGTCCGATGAAAGAGTGAAGAGAGGTGTTAATACTCCAGTGAGTTGCTGTTGATTGTATGTTATGTTTCCAATACGCTTCAGGGTACAGAAGCATTGTAATACAACTAAATACTCACATAAAATTTGAAATAACACAAATTGTGGGGAACTATTAATACCGCATAAATGACTAGTTGATATTTATCCCAAAACTATAAAACTGTGGATATATATAGATAGGGATTCGACTACTTGAAAAATACTGTTAAATCTTCAACCATTTTACCTTATAAATTTACTATACATGCATGCATGAGATAAATTACCTGGATTCCACTTTTCAGTAAGAAGTTTACATGTACGTACAAAGTCCTTGACTGATGTTTTATCAAAATTAGATTTTGATTAATTACTTATTAAATATTAAATTGTGCATGATTACAACGAAAGTTTTAAGAAAGTGATTCACGGTTTATTTTAACGTGTAATTCTACACAAAATGTGCAGTTCTAAACCCATTTGTGCAGTTCTTAAAACTCAAATGTGCAGTCACCAAATTAACAAAAATATAACCTCAGAACAGTCTTCTCATTAACTCGTTTTCCTTGTGGATGCTCCAGATGCCAGAAATGCTGCATGTTGTCATTTAGCATCAAAAATCTAAATGTTTTCTGGGAGAGGACCTTCAGACCCTCATATGTTCCTCACCAAACACTTACATGCTGGGGTAATGGAACAAAAGAGATCCAACCACACCTTTATTCTGCGCCACCTATGTACTAATTAAGACTATCATAATTTGCAACGTTAACTATAAATTTACAACGTTTATACTGTAGATAAAAATCCTTTGACCTCAATCAAACACGTGATGCTTTGTAACGTCCCTAATATGTGCAGTTCTAAACTTTTCTTAAAATAAACCCTGAAGTGATTAAGGCTCATTTTGTGAGCAAACAGGGACAGCTATGAACTAACTTGTAAATATATAATCAACTTGTAAATTAGTAATTGTAAATCATGTGGTTTGAAACTTTGTATATTCATGTATATTTTTATTTGTGGTTTTCCTCTCATACATTCGTAAGTTGATTGTCAGCTTAATTCAATTGGAGCTCGCTCTGTTAAGGCCCTGTCACACTATTGCGTATGAGAGAAACGTATGGGAAGCGTATGAAAATTAATGAAATAATTTTCATACGCACAAAAATCCTTTGAAATGCCAGCGTGTGCATGAGTACCGTACATCTGTAACTTTAATTTGTACATATTATTTGTGTAATCAGTTAGTTAACACGCTCCTTATGGGGACTGGAACACAGGCTAGAAAAACAGCTGATGTCAATGACGCTAGCTTGTCAAAATAAAGTATTATGTATGTATCAGGGTTCGTAGCTGTCTTTGAAATCCTTGCAGGTCTTTGAGGTCTTTGAAAAGTCTTTAAATTGTGTGAAAAAGCGAAGAAAGTCTTTAAGATTCTTTAATTAAATTCTTTAGTGAGGAACTGATTATACGATTTTCTGCCTAATAAAATAGATTGATTGAATCAAGATTTTCGCAAATATCGAAGAAAATGTGCATTTTAGGATGTGATTTGACGGGACTAATTACTGGGTAAAAACAGCTGCATGATTGCTCTCAAAGGTCTTTGAAAAGTCTTTGAAAATAGGCAGAAAAAATCTTGAAACTTATACAACCTATGCCTAACGTACCCCTAGCGTATGTCAGCGCCAACCGGCGTATGAGTGATATTTTTCTTACGCTAGCATACGCTAGTACGATACGCAATAGTGTGACAGGGCCTTTAGACCACATTTCATCATATATACAATATACTTAAATATATATGTATTCGTATATTACGATGTTTATGCATCTATACTCATAGGGGGGGGGTAAGAGCAACAAAGTAACTCGCATGCTACAACATTGTTCCAACATCACGTTGCGTATACACTCACTTGGAATGGTTTTAGCTGCTGTTGCAGTTCCTTTGTAGCTGCATCTGTTGACAAGATCTGCAATTCTGTTTGCCGGACATATTTTGCTTAAGACATGAGACATTTACGCGTATCTTCCATATAGTGACACATATATTTCATTGGTCAATTCGTTTAGGGCGGAGGTATAACGCTTAATTTCGAAAAAGGCATGCGGGATTTTATCGTCAATGGAAAAGGTGTTGGTATCCACGGACAGGTTTGTTTCTTGATTATTATAAGCGTCTTTCTTATTATCATATCGTATATATTTCGGACTATTTCGGAATATTTGCTTGTATGTATTGATATGACACATAATTTACAGAACTACATATAGTTGCCTGCGGAGAAGAATACATCTAGATAGTGATGAGTATATCTGTCGGTTTTGAAAAGTACCATCCTTAATTTCCACCATGACAACCAAATATAACAATTTATCACAAGACATTGCCCAAGCCTATTTTCATGATTTGAGTTAACAAACCCAGAAGTTTCAAAAATGATTCCTTTCCATGTAAGCAGACGAAAAAAATGTTTTCTAAAAACCTAAAACTTACTTAATTAAAACTACTTTATTCTAGAATTTTACTCTCCAATTTCGACATAAACATTTTGGAAAAGACGGCGCAAATTTAGTACAGCTGTCCCATCCTATATGCCGCGTTATACTTTGCTGTCAAACTTAAAATAATTATTATCTAAAATTAATTTAGTTAATTACATTATACAGGGTGTATAAAAAAACTGAACAGATTTTAAATTGCTCTCAATTTCGCAAAACAGCTATTAGTATCCGGTTTTTTAAATTTTGCATATACAGCTTCTTTGGGTGCTTACTACTTATAATATAGAATAATGAAAAATATTTCTCGAACTCAAATTTTGTAGCTACAATCTAAAAATGGCTTGCGCACGAGATTTATCGTATTTTGATTGTATTTTGAGTCAATGTGTGTAAAATGTGTTGGGTGTTTAATTGCTGCACGAAATTTCAGACAATTTGCTTCAGTTTAAGCCCTGTAACTACTCGCACAAATTTACATTTTTAATTTGCACATGTCAGCAATATGGAAATTAGATAATGGCATTAATTAAGCATGCGAAAGGCTGATTTTTTTTTTAAACTAAAGCAAATTTTGTACTATAATTAAAAACCCACCAAATTTTCCATCCACTAACTCAAAACATAATTAAAGCTTTTAAATTTCGTGCGCAAGCCATTTTTAACTTGTTGGATAAGAAGCAGCCCCCTGGTTTACAGAATTTGAGTTCGAGTATTTTTTCTACATTATGGGTACTCAAGGAATCTACTGGTATATAACGAAAACTAAATACTAGTAGCTGTTTTGCGAAATTGAGAGCAATTTCAAATCTGTTCAGTTTTTTTTTATACACCCTGTATATATCCCTGGTGACACCCCAGGATCATGCATGCTCTCGTATTCATAAACTTTTACCTCATTCATTTACCTATATTAAATTCCCAAAAACACAACCGCCGACGCATTTTCGTACCCAGGGTCAGAAGACGAGAGAAAATAGTCTGGGTACGAGATTGCCGCCGACCCTTAGTCCAGTGTTGTAACGAGTCGAGTCATTGACTCCGACTCGAGTCGCTATTTTCAGCGACTTGACTTGACTCGAGTCCAATACGAGAAATGACTCGACCCGGGTCAACAGCCCCAAATGACTCGACTCGGACTCGACTTGCTGATTTTGCCGTAAATGACTCGAGTCAACTCATCTACAACTTGTACAGAGTAAATTCATCAGAATTATTGCGATTGTATTGCTTGGGAAGAACAATGAGCCCTGTAAACAATGTAAACTTTATCAGAAAATTATGGGATTTGCATAGAATATATTCCTGACGGGCATACCTATATTACATTTCTCTTTTAGGAACAACGCTAGTGCCTAGCCTCCTCCGCAGGCAACTGTGTAGTTCTGCAACGTTATTAACCATAAAAGATTTATCAGGAACGTAGAAAATACAAGGAAATACTAGTTCTGAAATACGATATGATATTAATAAACACTGGAGCGTAAAAATAGGGAAGCTTGTGGATAATGTAGGAAGTAATGGGATAATAGTGGGGCGAAAACGAGAAACGAGAGAAGGGAGAGTTCCTTCCTTCCTCCTTCGCTTTTCTCGCCCCGCCCCTTTCCCGCCCGCATTTTTAATTTTACGCTACAGTGTTTATTAATATCATATCGTATTTCAGAACTAGTATTTCCTTGTATTTTCTACGTTTCTGATAAATCTTTTATGGTTAATAACGTTGCAGAACTACACAGTTGCCTGCGGAGGAAGCTAGCTAGTGCCACAGTTTTTAAAATGGAGTCTCAAAATTTTTTGTACTTATACTAATTCTGACAGGTTATTTTTATTTTCGGTATTTATGAAGGGGTATATAATTTCAAATTAACTTACAAAGCGTGGTTAATTAAAGCCTATTCTTTGTTAATTGTGACTCCAGTTGCAAATGATGCTAGTTGTATGCATGCATGTACACTCGTTCAGCAGGCATGATGAGACATGTCATGTGGTCGTACTTAATCAATTGACTAGAACTGCGGTATTGGTACAGTCTATAGCTGCCCAGATACTGTTATTAAATGACTAAAGTAATTAGTTTAAAACGCAAATTTGATTACTAATTTCCGACTGCAAGCTAGCTAGGGTAGCTCAAGTCAAGTCTAGCAATTGACTCGACTCGACTTAAACCAGTGACTCGACTTGACTCGAGTGAAGCCGCTGACTCGACTCGTGACTTGACCTTTGAGTGACTCGACTCGTGACTCGACCTGTAGGTGACTCGTTACAACAATGCCTTAGTCCGCCTTGTAATTAAAACCACATCCGGATAACTTTTTCAAATTAATATACGATTGTCTCAAAATAAGAGAAAACAACTCGGCAAAAAAGTTATTACTTCATCTTATTTCATAACCATTTTCGCAGGGGAATTAACTATATATGAAATTAAAGAATTATACAGAATTGTTTTTGTAACTCGCATTTTCGTCGCACGATAATAAAACTTGTCCACGGGCGTCAGGCAAGGCAAACCCGAATAGCGCGATTCGCCATACCAAAACAAAATTAATACTTGCCATGTAATAAAGATGATTAGAAATACTATTGTAGCTTCTTCTCTCAACTCCGATGGCTTGATCGCGATAAGTATAATTTAAATTGCGTGCAAAACTAAAAACAATATAAATTGAACAGATACATTATTTTCAGGTTTTGGTTGCTTTCCAAGCCACGCTCACAACAGGTAGGATTGGACCTAACTACGCCCACGGTGCCATTAAATTCAACGACGTTGCTCTGAACATTGGAAGCGGTTATAACCCAAGCACTGGCTTATTCACTGCGCCTATTGGAGGTATATACCAATTTACTGCCACATACCTTCAGCAAAGTGGCTACCAATCTCACGTTCGGCTGATTAAAGGGAGCGCGACTATTATCAGTGATATACATGCAAACCACAAAAACTATGATCAGCTAACGAAAACTGTTCTTGTAGCTTTGGCAAAGGGCGAGACATTCTGGGTTAAGTTGGAGAAAAGTAGTGCCTACGCTGTATATGGAACCCAACGATATACTCAATTTGGTGGATTCCTTCTTTCAGCCAACTATAAATAATAAAACTTCACTGCAAAATATTATGACTCATTCGGTTGACAAAATAAGTTGTCTTCCATTAATTTCCAGAACACTAGTAGTGACATAAAAGATAATCGTCTCGCTAATATAGAACGAGTACAGGGTAGCTAGTAGTTGTACTGCATCTGCATTTATTTTAAAATAAATAACAGAAAAAATTAACTATTATTATTGTGTTAATGTTGTCCCCGGAACTCGAGCCAATGGCATGCTGGTAAGCCTGGGTTTATCATAATGATGCAAGTTTATTAAATTATATTTAATACTGTATAAAATTAAAGCGATTGTATGACTTGAATTGATTTTATCAAAGACAAAGTTTATCAGCGAAATAAGTTTATTAATTGATTTCGATTATTTGATTTTACGAAACGTCTAAGGTGTAATTTTACGTTTAATTGACGCTGATGTGCAGGTGTTCCAAAACCTCTCACTCCGCTTTTTCTGACAGAGCGATAGCTTTAATATTTTCAGTTTTTTACTGGAACAAAATACTCAACCATTCGCTTTCTGGAGTCACTTAAGTTGACGCTTGCTGGGGCATTCACACTGCCTTTGGTAAAAACGTTGGTGGATACAGTGTAATGAATATAACTGGAACTTTGAAGCAAAAATTCAAGGCTAGTTCCAATCTTTTTACGCATGAGAAAAGCGCGGTCAATCCGCGAAAACCCGCTCAGTTAAAAGTAAAAAAAGCTTTTCAGTTAACAGCGTTCAAAGCTATTTATTAATGCCAATATTAGTTTGTTCCTTACTTTTTTCTAATCATTGTTTATTGAACTGGTATCGCGAGAGAATCGCGAGACATAAACACGCGTTGTGGGGGGTCAGATTTGACTTCAAGAAAAAGATATTCAGTTTAAGGTAGCATCCCAGTTATAGTCATGTCACTGGGTGAATATGTCGGTATTTTTTTAGTATTAATAATTTATTCCTCCAAAATGGCTTTTCAGAAATAATTACAATCATAAAATGAAGACTAATTACGTATTTACATGAGTTTATTAGAAGAGTTATATATACTATCTATAAACAAACGTATATTTTGATATATTATAATAAACCAATTATTTTAAATCAATTATTGCTAAAATTGTAAAATATAAAATTATTTTGAGCTGTTCCAGCACTCTTTATGCATTATCTTTCTGACTAGTTTTTTAAAAACTCCAATACTTGAACTATCTTTAATTTAATTTAATCATTTGTCCCAACACAATCATTACGCATACATCTACAATAAACAGAGGACACAAGTGTGACTGGGGAACAGGACTTGCGTCCCAATTGACACCTGACCCCAACATTATAACTATAGACTTTGCTGCTTGTTGCACACCGAGCACAACTGTGACTATTCTCATGATTTCATGACAAAAGTACTGCAGGTAAACAATACACATAGAAATTATAGTCATTTGTAAGCGAATATCAAGATTTCTAACTATTTCTCGAACAATTCACTAGCCTAACCTAAAACTTATTTTGCAACAGAATCAAAATCATCATAGCTCAGACATTCGTCAAATTCCATTCCTAAATCTCGGGCTGAAGATACCGGTCGTAGTTCCTTTTCAAGGAAAGTCGCTCGAAAGTCTTGTACATGATTGAGCATTTGTGCTGTACCAAACAGAAGAAGCTTAGTCTTTTCGGGGTTGGCAAGTAGGCTATTTGAGCAACACCTGCAGGCAGCGATTCTTCACAAATCGTCTGTAAGCTGAATCTCCGCAACATTAATGTCTTTGTATGAGAATGACAAGTAAATCTTAGAGTCATCTACATACGATTCTAAAGGACATACAGTACAATAGGAACAGTTGGAAGATCGTTAAATATATATTAGAGTATTGAATCATGCGTTGGAATATATCAAGAGAAAGAATGCTGCTCGTTTTAAGTTGAGCAACACTTACCTTACAGTATGTAGGTTCTATTGTTTAGCCCATCTGCATGTACTGAGACAGACCAGTGGGTAAACCGCACCCGGCTCACCGAATTGTTTAAGAGATTGGAAACTGACGTCTAGTCGCTTGGATAAAACTGGCACAAACTCTAATTTTGAGAAGCTCCACTGAAGGTTCCGTGAAATTACTGTTTTAAATGTAGAAATGGCAGAGCTACGAAATTTCAAATATACCTCTTATTCCTGACTTCTACATGAGGGCGCCGAATTCGGGGGGTGGGCATGAAATTGCGTTTCAGAGATTCTATATTTCTCAATTTTCGTGGGAAGATCCTATACCCCTCCAGCGGCCTCGCGTCTTTGGCACTCGATAGTTGACCATGGTGTATTCGACGCTGAGGATGCTCATCAACTTTTACATTTCTTCCAGTATCTTCACGTTATTTTGTAATCACACCTTTTTATCTGGTAAAACAGATCCACACGCCCCTAATAACGTATAAACTCTAGTTACGCCCCTGATATTATCCTAAAAGAATCTTTTCGAATACAATGAACACGTAATACATACAAACTGAGAAATACAGAAACTGATTTAGCACTTCTTACGCCGAAGAAAGAATTTGGCAAAAGGTGCTTCGTCTACAGTGGTGCCATACTTTGGAAGTTTGGAACAATCTTTTTTGTGAGGTAAAACTTGAGGGGGATATGGGGGGTGTGACACCCCCAAAATACAAATCATCTGGATTGGCAGGGCACTATCATCTGTATTGGCAGGGCAATCAAAGATTGTAAATGATAGAATGTAGAGTTATTAAGTAACTTACAGGGTTTTCGGAGGAAATTTCTAAAATTCGTAGACCTAAATATTACAGATATTTGACCAAAAAAAGGGTTGACCCATGTTTTAACAGGAATTTGTACGGAAAATATTTTTGGAACCTTAATTTAACTGGTTTATGCCTGGAAAAATTTTTTGATGAATTTTTTAATGTCCAAAAATATTTTTTTAACCCTCTCCCCCCCCCCCCCCAACATTTTTGGGAAAAATACGGTGTCAAAAATAAAAATTTGCTGCAGGGCATCATCGGTTTTGGCAGGACAATTCTGCCAGACACTCCCCAAATTAAAATGGGCTAGTTTCGCCCCTGAAAGCTATCACTTGTTTCCAATCTGGTCCTCTTAAAATTACATTAATAATACATTATTTTCATGCAGACATTACAGAGTGACATACCTTACAATCACACAATATTAAACTTGTACCTGTCAACAAATACCTACTAGAATTAATTTAACAAAATAAAGTTCCTAACATAATCTTTGAATGTTTATAGTTCAGTTGACCTAGCTAATTTGTTGTGATAGTGTTCTTTATAAATTTTTTCGAAAACGATTATGTACACAATGAAATATATAATAACCCAAATATAGCATCGATGTGGAAAGTCATCAGGAAAGAGACCACGAAACCAAGTTATTCCGGAGATGTTAAGAAAATAGCTAATGAATTCAATACCTTTTTACCTCAGTGGGGATAAATACATCAGCAACTGCATTGGCATTGCTTACTGAACCTGGAAACAGGTGTTTTCCTAACAGCCTGGAAGAAAGCAGAGGTTATCCCACTTCTGAAGGAAGGGGATTACGAAATTCCGAATAATAATCGGCCCGTGTCGTTGTTAGTGGCTGCATCTAAGATCTGTGAACGCGTGGTATTGAAACAGTTAACAGAGTATATGACAAAGATGAAAAAATTTACTAAACATC